GGGGCACTTATAGAGCAATCCAACAAGTTAGAAAATTGAGATAATGAGACCCTTGGATTCAAACAACATAATAAAAATATATCAATTAGTGTCATTAGTGTTAATGTTAGTTCATAAATAATAGTTTTAGTTTTTAAAGCTGACTTATATCTAGAGATGTTACAACCACATTTTTGCCCCTGATCCGAGTCCAAGTTGTTTGATTTTTGATTATCTTCCAATACTGAGTCCTGCTCTGATACCAGGTGGTGATGCAACGCGTTATAAAAGAAGAAAGAAGTGGTCCTTCTGTCTGTATTTGTCATTTTGTTCTTTTAGCCTGAAAAGGTCACTCATTCAGGAAGTACATTTAACAGAAATCAAGATACTTTATTGCTATTGCACAGGTGTACAACCAAAGATATTTTGTGCTTACTAAAGACAGCTCTAGTAAGAGGTAGTAAAATAAATGTAAAATAAATGCAACCACAGAGACTTATCCAGTGTGATCTACAGCTATGTTAGCTGAGATCTTTTTCCTGTCAGTAGAAAATTCTTGATCCCATTCCATGATCTCACTGAACTTAACAATAAACATGAGAGCTCTGCTACCAACCTAACAACAACACACTTTACACAAAGGCACCATCATCACATACGTGGCAGGAGTCTCAGAGAAACTTACAAGAATCTTCTCCAAACACAACATCCCGGTAAACTTTAACCCAACAGCACCCTCAGACAGAACCTGGTCCATCCAGAAGACAAAACACCCAAACAGAAGCTCAGTGGGGTCGTTTATGCAGTCCAGTGTAGGAGCACTGTCCAGATGTTGACATTAGAGAAACTAGACAACAAGTACACAAGAACATAACACAACACAGGAGAGCTGCCTCTTCAGGTAAAAACTCTGCAGTCCACCTTCACCTGAAGGACAAGGGACACACCTTTGAAGATGACAAAGTCCACATTCTGGACAGAGAAGATAGATGATTTGAGAGAGAAGTAAAATAAGCTACCTATGTCAAAACGTGAAAACCCCACTTTAAATAGGGGCGGGGCTTAGATTTCACCCTTCCAGAACCAATAATGCAGCTTTGGTCAAGGTCAAGTTTACTTACAGAGCGCATTTACAGCAGCAAAGCTACACCAAAAAGCTGTACAAGGTAAAACAAATCAAGATACAACAAATCAACAATAAAAATCTAAAATAAGATGAGCACACAACAGTCACAATCTAAGATAAAAACTGTTAAAAACTATTAAGATGCTCAAGTCAACCTGCATTAAAAGCCAAATCAAAAAATTGCGTCTTAAGAAGGGATTTAAAATGCTCTAGATTCTGTTTGGTCCTGATGTTGAGAGGTAGCTTGTTCCACAGTTTGGGCCCAACCACAGAGAACGCTCTGTCGCCGCGAGTCTTGTGGCGGGTTTTTGGAACTGTTAAAAGAGCTTGAGAGCTGGACCTCATGGTTCTGGCAGGGACGTAAGCGGACAGCAGCTCAGAGACGTAAACTGGGGCCAGGCCGTGAAGGGATTTAAAAACAAAAAGTAAAATTTTGAAACGGATCCTGTAAGAGACAGGAAGCCAATGGAGAGAGTCCAGAACCGGGGTTATGTGATCCCACTTGCTGGTTCCAGTCAGCAAGCGAGCCGCTGCATTTTGGACCAGCTGAAGTCGGTGTGGGGAGGACTGGTCCAGGCCAGAATACAGGGAGATGCAGTAGTCCAATCGGCAGGACACGAACAGGTGGATGACATGTTCGAGGACATTAGCAGGAAGGTATGGCTTCACCTTTGCTATCTGCCTTAAATGATAAAAACCTTATTGGACCACTACACTCACCTGTCTATAAAGATTACAAGAACCATCTAAAAACACACCAGGTTTTTAACACAGGGTTTTAGAAAACCAGAACACGGTTAACCCTCTTATGACCATAAATATAACTGTTTTTTTTGTTTTGTTTTGTTTTATGGCTTTAAAATTGTAATAAAAGTGTAAAATGTTTGTAACTCTGCTCCTTTTTTCAGAACAACCTCAGCTTTCAGTGTCTAGTTTGTTTTTGTGTTTATGTTTATTAAAGTCTGTAAAACTGCAGCTTAAATGAAAAAAAAAACAGATTTGAATTTTCTTTACATTTATTACTGAACAGGAACTTCAAAATGACTTGAGCAAACTATGGCAGAAGAACTACCGGTATTTAAACTCAGAACTGTGTTGCAAACACTCAGAAAACAGTGTGACCCCTGACCTCATGTTAACCAGTTTAATGACTGCAGCCTGTCTGTGACCACAGGTCTACGCTCTGGTCCAGAGAACGGGATACAGTAAAATAAATACTAGGCATCATAAAATAACACTCATGGGCTACTTCACAGCTGTAGCTACATTTCTACCAGCATTATGAAGATCAATAAGCAGAAAAAGGTTAAATCTAAACATTTCATTACAAAAAGTCAACTAATAAAATTCTGCACTGATAACATTATATTTTCAGCTAAATAAATATTTATTGTACGTATAAATAAAGCTGGAATGAAGCCGAATCATTTAGTAAACAGTTGAGTGTTCAAATAAAAACCAGTGTGACTTTAATCTGTCCCTCCTCATGTCACCAGCTACAGAAACAGCCTTCTGGGACACCTGACCAACCAGGTGGATTTTATTTGTGACGTTTCCATAACTTTATAAAAGCTGCTGATGAAGATTATCAGATCATCTCCTCCTTTCGGTTCTCTGCTCTCCCGTCGCGGTTCCTCCGTTTCTTTCTGTGACGCTGCAAAGCTGGTTTCCTTCTAATAGCGGTTTTTGGAGTAACATGAATTACATCATGTAATACCTCGTTGGAAAGCTCGTTTTATGTACTTTTAGAAACCGTTTGAAGTATTTTTATTCGATTAGTAATTCAGAAGTTATGACCCAGAGAATCTAGAGTGAGAAACATCCGTGATTCTTTGTGAGTTTCTTCAGCACTTCGGGAGAAGTCTCTCTCCTGTTGCATTTTCTGGCCCAGACATGCAGCTACCTGACTCTGCTCCACACACACTAACCACGGATTCAAACGCACGTAAACAAAAGCTCTGATATTAAAATCTATCCAGCTGACGTGAAGCAGGCAGAAAACAAACACAGTTAGATGAACGCAGGCTCCTGTCCACAGGGAAAACACCGGTCTGTCGTCTCCATGGCTACAAGGTAGAGCGACAGCAAGGACAACCAATCACATGTTAGTATGATGCGGCAGAGCCAATCAGTGAGCTTGTAGGCGGGTCTAAGGGAAAATAGCCTTCAGCTTGAGGCGGCTGCCTCCGCATGGTCCTAGAGCCCAATTTGTATCACAGTATAACAGTTTTGTATGGTAAAATCTGACGAACGACCGGAAAAAGGGCACTTTGGGCACTTCGGACAAAAGGGGCAGGGTCTCAAGCACCCTCCGCACCCCCCTCTGCACGTGCCTGGTATCGAATGAGAACGGATAATGACATTCACAAATCAAACTTCCAATCTTGCAAATATCCACTTTGTTTAATGCAAGTGATGGTGCTCTACACAAGAATTTTGCCCTTTGCAAATGGTTGCTAGTATTTCACTGATTGATATTTTGACCATTGTGGGATTGCTGCGGGAATGGTTCCAAGTCCTCAATTTATGGATCTATGAACAAGCACATTGCAGTCCAGTCATATTTAGTAGTCTTTCCACTATACCCTCAAAGTTCTAGGGATTCATGGTGTAATGGTCAGCACTCTGGACTTTGAATCCAGCGATCTGAGTTCAAATCTCAGTGAAACCTTTGCCTGTTTTGATATCTAGGACAATCAATGGTGTCCAAGATTTCTCTTTGAAATTTTCATTGAAGGAATCATGAAATGTATTACTTGATTTGAAATGATGAAATGAGAAATTGTCTTTTTTCAAAATGCTAACCAATGCAAAGTGTTTCACCCACTCATAGACTTTGCTGAAACCCGGGATTGAACCAGGGACCTTTAGATCTTCAGTCTAACGCTCTCCCAACTGAGCTATTCCAGCAGACAAAACTGTTCATCCACCCAAAAATGCCAAGTGACTATATTGGATCCAACAGCATTCCACACTTGGCACTGGTAACAAACGTTTGTCAGTTGAGTTTTTCAGTTGATTGCCTCCAAGTCTGTGATGGTGGGAAATGATCAAAAAGCTCATCTACATATGAAGGAACTGTACCTGGACATTGATCAAAAGGCGCAGTTGGATCTTATACGTTATCTGCTCAGACTCAGTAAAATCTTAACTTTTCTTTCAATATCTACCAATGTGTGTTGCATTCTTATGCCTCCTACAGTCATGGAAAAACCGATTCTGTTGCATGTCATTCAATACAAGCTATGCTCTAACAATTATATACCGTGTTGCCACAAATCTTTGGTTTTCTCACAAATAAAATCATTGTGAGAATCGTGACAAAAAGGTTAAAATACAGGGGGTCTTCGGTTCCATGGTGTAATGGTTAGCACTCTGGACTCTGAATCCAGCGATCTGAGTTCAAGTCTCAGTGGAACCAAATTGGTTAAATGCTTCTCAAGTGTTCTGTCACAAGAAGATAATTGGTGAGGAAATTTATAATCATTAAGTATTTCATATTCTCTGCAAATCTTTGAAAGTTTTTTCATTTGTTTCTGAAAAATGTCTTAGGACATTATTGATTGCCTCTTGCAATGCATTAATTGATTTTGGAGATGGAACCAAGGGTCTTATTATGCTCTTCGTAATACTGTATCGAATGAGAACGGATGCTGACATTCACAAATCAAACTTCCAATCTTGCAAATATCCACTTTGTTTAATGCAAGTGATGGTCTCTACACAAGAATTTTGCCCTTTGCAAATGGTTGCTAGTATTTCACTGATTGATATTTTGACCATTGTGGGATTGCTGCGGGAATAGTTCCAAATCCTCAATTTATGGATCTATGAACAAGCACATTGCAGTCCAGTCATATTTAGTATTCTTTCCGCTATACTCTCAAAGTTCTAGGGTTTCATGGTGTAATGGTCAGCACTCTGGACTTTGAATCCAGAGATCTGAGTTTAAATCTCAGTGAAACCTTTGCCTGTTTTGATATCTAGGACAATCAATGGTGCCCAAGATTTCTCTTTGAAATTTTCATTGAAGGAATCATGAAATGTATTACTTGATTTGAAATGATGAAATGAGAAATTGTCTTTTTTCAAAATGCTAACCAATGCAAAGTGTTTCTCCCACTCATAGACTTTGCTGAAACCCGGGATTGAACCAGGGACCTTTAGATCTTCAGTCTATCGCTCTCCCAACTGAGCTATTCCAGCTGACAAAACTGTTCATTCACCCAAAAATGCCAAGTGACTATATTGGATCCAACAGCATTCCACACTTGGCACTGGTAACAAACGTTTGTCAGTTGAGTTTTTCAGTTGATTGCCTCCAAGTCTGTGATGGTGGGAAATGATCAAAAAGCTCATCTACATATGAAGGAACTGTACCTGGACATTGATCAAAAGGCGCAGTTGGATCGTATACGTTATCTGCTCAGACTCAGTAAAATCTTAACTTTTCTTTCAATATCTACCAATGCGTGTTGCATTCTCATGCCTCCTACAGTCATGGAAAAACCGATTCTGTTGCATGTCATTCAATACAAGCTATGCTCTAACAATTATATACCGTGTTGCCACAAATCTTTGGTTTTCTCACAAATAAAATCATTGTGAGAATCGTAACAAAAAGGTTACAATACAGCGGGTCTTCGGTTCCATGGTGTAATGGTTAGCACTCTGGACTCTGAATCCAGCGATCTGAGTTCAAGTCTCAGTGGAACCAAATTGGTTAAATGCTTCTCAAGTGTTCTGTCACAAGAAGACAATTGGTGACGAAATTTATAATCATTAAGTATTTCATATTCTCTGCAAATCTTTGAAAGTTTTTTCATTTGTTTCTGAAAAATGTCTTAGGACATTATTGATTGCCTCTTGCAATGCATTAATTGATTTTGGAGATGGAACCAAGGGTCTTATTATGCTCTTCGTAATACTGTATCGAATGAGAACGGATTCTGACATTCACAAATCAAACTTCCAATCTTGCAAATATCCACTTTGTTTAATGCAAGTGATGGTCTCTACACAAGAATTTTGCCCTTTGCAAATGGTTGCTAGTATTTCACTGATTGATATTTTGACCATTGTGGGATTGCTGCGGGAATGGTTCCAAGTCCTCAATTTATGGATCTATGAACAAGCACATTGCAGTCCAGTCATATTTAGTATTCTTTCCACTATACTCTCAAAGTTCTAGGGTTTCATGGTGTAATGTTCAGCACTCTGGACTTTGAATCCAGCGATCTGAGTTCAAATCTCAGTGAAACCTTTGCCTGTTTTGATATCTAGGACAATCAATGGTGCCCAAGATTTCTCTTTGAAATTTTCATTGAAGGAATCATGAAATGTATTACTTGATTTGAAATGATGAAATGAGAAATTGTCTTTTTTCAAAATGCTAACCAATTCAAAGTGTTTCTCCCACTCATAGACTTTGCTGAAACCCGGGATTGAACCAGGGACCTTTAGATCTTCAGTCTAACGCTCTCCCAACTGAGCTATTCCAGCTGACAAAACTGTTCATTGACCCAAAAATGCCAAGTGACTATATTGGATCCAACAGCATTCCACACTTGGCACTGGTAACAAACGTTTGTCAGTTGAGTTTTTCAGTTGATTGCCTCCAAGTCTGTGATGGTGGGAAATGATCAAAAAGCTCATCTACATATGAAGGAACTGTACCTGGACATTGATCAAAAGGCGCAGTTGGATCTTATACGTTATCTGCTCAGACTCAGTAAAATCTTAACTTTTCTTTCAATATCTACCAATGTGTGTTGCATTCTCATGCCTCCTACAGTCATGGAAAAACCGATTCTGTTGCATGTCATTCAATACAAGCTATGTTCTAACAATTATATACCGTGTTTCCACAAATCTTTGGTTTCTCACAAATAAAATCATTGTGAGAATCGTGACAAAAAGGTTTAAATACAGCGGGTCTTCGGTTCCATGGTGTAATGGTTAGCACTCTGGACTCTGAATTCAGCGATCTGAGTTCAAGTCTCAGTGGAACCAAATTGGTTAAATGCTTCTCAAGTGTTCTGTCACAAGAAGACAATTGGTGAGGAAATTTATAATCATTAAGTATTTCATATTCTCAGCAAATCTTTGAAAGTTTTTTCATTTGTTTCTGAAAAATGTCTTAGGACATTATTGATTGCCTCTTGCAATGCATTAATTGATTTTGGAGATGGAACCAAGGGTCTTATTATGCTCTTCGTAATACTGTATCGAATGAGAACGGATGCTGACATCCACAAATCAAACTTCCAAACTTGCAAATATCCACTTTCTTTAATGCAAGTGATGGTGCTCTACACAAGAATTTTGCCCTTTGCAAATGGTTGCTAGTATTTCACTGATTGATATTTTGACCATTGTGGGATTGCTGCGGGAATAGTTCCAAATCCTCAATTTATGGATCTATGAACAAGCACATTGCAGTCCAGTCATATTTAGTATTCTTTCCGCTATACTCTCAAAGTTCTAGGGTTTCATGGTGTAATGGTCAGCACTCTGGACTTTGAATCCAGCGATCTGAGTTCAAATCTCAGTGAAGCCTTTGCCTGTTTTGATATCTAGGACAATCAATGGTGTCCAAGATTTCTCTTTGAAATTTTCATTGAAGGAATCATGAAATGTATTACTTGATTTGAAATGATGAAATGAGAAATTGTCTTTTTTCAAAATGTTAACCAATTCAAAGTGTTTCTCCCACTCATAGACTTTGCTGAAACCCGGGGGTGAACCAAGGACCTTTAGATCTTCAGTCTAACGCTCTCCCAACTGAGCTATTCCAGCGGACAAAACTGTTCATTCACCCAAAACTGCCAAGTGACTATATTGGATCCAACAGCATTCCACACTTGGCACTGGTAACAAACGTTTGTCAGTTGAGTTTTTCAGTTGATTGCCTCCAAGTCTGTGATGGTGGGAAATGATCAAAAAGCTCATCTACATATGAAGGAACTGTACCTGGACATTGATCAAAAGGCGCAGTTGGATCTTATACGTTATCTGCTCAGACTCAGTAAAATCTTAACTTTTCTTTCAATATCTACCAATGTGTGTTGCATTCTCATGCCTCCTACAGTCATGGAAAAACCAATTCTGTTGCATGTCATTCAATACAAGCTATGCTCTAACAATTATATACCGTGTTGCCACAAATCTTTGGTTTTCTCACAAATAAAATCATTGTGAGAATCGTGACAAAAAGGTTAAAATACAGCGGGTCTTAGGTTCAATGGTGTAATGGTTAGCACTCTGGACTCTGAATCCAGCGATCTGAGTTCAAGTCTCAGTGGAACCAAATTGGTTAAATGCTTCTCAAGTGTTCTGTCACAAGAAGACAATTGGTGAGGAAATTTATAATCATTAAGTATTTCATATTCTCTGCAAATCTTTGAAAGTTTTTTCATTTGTTTCTGAAAAATGTCTTAGGACATTATTGATTGCCTCTTGCAATGCATTAATTGATTTTGGAGATGGAACCAAGGGTCTTATTATGCTCTTAGTAATACTGTATCGAATGAGAACGGATGCTGACATTCACAAATCAAACTTCCAATCTTGCAAATATCCGCTTTGTTTAATGCAAGTGATGGTCTCTACACAAGAATTTTGCCCTTTGCAAATGGTTGCTAGTATTTCACTGATTGATATTTTGACCATTGTGGGATTGCTGCGGGAATAGTTCCAAATCCTCAATTTATGGATCTATGAATAAGCACATTGCAGTCCAGTCATATTTAGTATTCTTTCCGCTATACTCTCAAAGTTCTAGGGTTTCATGGTGTAATGGTCAGCACTCTGGACTTTGAATCCAGCGATCTGAGTTCAAATCTCAGTGAAGCCTTTGCCTGTTTTGATATCTAGGACAATCAATGGTGTCCAAGATTTCTCTTTGAAATTTTCATTGAAGGAATCATGAAATGTATTACTTGATTTGAAATGATGAAATGAGAAATTGTCTTTTTTCAAAATGTTAACCAATTCAAAGTGTTTCTCCCACTCATAGACTTTGCTGAAACCCGGGATTGAACCAGGGACCTTTAGATCTTCAGTCTAACGCTCTCCCAACTGAGCTATTCCAGCGGACAACACTGTTCATTCACCCAAAAATGCCAAGTGACTATATTGGATCCAACAGCATTCCACACTTGGCACTGGTAACAAACGTTTGTCAGTTGAGTTTTTCAGTTGATTGCCTCCAAGTCTGTGATGGTGGGAAATGATCAAAAAGCTCATCTACATATGAAGGAACTGTACCTGGACATTGATCAAAAGGCGCAGTTGGATCTTATACGTTATCTGCTCAGACTCAGTAAAATCTTAACTTTTCTTTCAATATCTACCAATGTGTGTTGCATTCTCATGCCTCCTACAGTCATGGAAAAACCAATTCTGTTGCATGTCATTAAATACAAGCTATGCTCTAACAATTATATACCGTGTTGCCACAAATCTTTGGTTTTCTCACAAATAAAATCATTGTGAGAATCGTGACAAAAAGGTTAAAATACAGCGGGTCTTAGGTTCAATGGTGTAATGGTTAGCACTCTGGACTCTGAATCCAGCGATCTGAGTTCAAGTCTCAGTGGAACCAAATTGGTTAAATGCTTCTCAAGTGTTCTGTCACAAGAAGACAATTGGTGAGGAAATTTATAATCATTAAGTATTTCATATTCTCTGCAAATCTTTGAAAGTTTTTTCATTTGTTTCTGAAAAATGTCTTAGGACATTATTGATTGCCTCTTGCAATGCATTAATTGATTTTGGAGATGGAACCAAGGGTCTTATTATGCTCTTAGTAATACTGTATCGAATGAGAACGGATGCTGACATTCACAAATCAAACTTCCAATCTTGCAAATATCCACTTTGTTTAATGCAAGTGATGGTCTCTACACAAGAATTTTGCCCTTTGCAAATGGTTGCTAGTATTTCACTGATTGATATTTTGACCAT